CCGGCCTGTGCTGACAAGGTCATGTTGTCATTGGTGGGCTGACATCTGGAGGGAATGGTGGAGAGATCGTTGCCTGCCGCTCGTGACATGGGACGATGCGGAGAAGTGGCCGTAAGGTATATTGGGCTTGTCGCCCAGTGCGTACGACGGCTTTTGTATCAAATCTATCCACTACGAAGTTACAAGTACGCATCTCAGACCACGTCGTTGGTGTATAAGAAGTCGTCCGAATTGGCTCGATTTGAATACACCATCCATTCACACATTCACACTTTCACACATCTACACCAACACACCAACACCACACCAATACATCTCAACATCCTCCAATATGGCTTCACGCGTTACATCAGTAATCGGACGCCGCGTCCTTTCAACATCATCACGCTCCCGTACCGCACTCCCATCACAGTACGCTTCATCATCGCGGAGCACAGCACCTATGGTCGTAGCATCAGCAGCCACAGCCGCCATGACTGCCGTCGCAAGGTCAGCAAATCCCCGACTCGGCCGAGTAGCCAGATGGTATCTTCCCGCCATGGCTGCCGTCGCTCTCGGAATCACATATCTGCCCGAGCAATTTCTCTACGAGCCCAGCAAGCGCTCCGTCACACTAGACGAAGCAAACCGTCGCATCAACTACACCATGGCTGCCCAACTCAACCAGCACAACACTCGCGCGAACCCTGGGTACGCACCTACACAGGAAGAGCGCAACCAGATGATGCTAAACTCATACGGCGATCGATCGAGTCTGGAAGACATGGAGAAGGCGATCGCTGGGTACGAGGCGAACTTCGTGTCCAAGACCGAGGTTGAGAAGAGGACCGAGTTGGAGGAGGCGTATGGAGACCGGACAAGTCTGCATCACCTGAAGCGGGCGATGTCCATCTATGAGGTACAATGATCGAATCGCAAAGTAAAGGTCACGCAAAGAAGAATCCCAGCTTCGAGAGAAGGGGATGTTCGAGGTTCGAGGCTGGAGGTTGGAAAGACTGGAAGGACAAAGTTACGGCAACGTTTCTTTGTCAACTCGCAGGACGAATATACCCGTCACTCGCTCAGGAAGCGGTGCGTGCCACGATAAGCAATCATCGTCGTTGCAGGAATTCGGGCATAGCTGCATGGTGCATCATGGATGGCGTTTCGGCCGGGACGGAATTCTTATGGACAGGATTCTGTATGAGAGCAGTAGCCTCCGGCCTTATGGAAACTTTATGAACAAATGTCGACATAGCAAAACAAATAGCATAAATGCATTCATGAACTTGCAAATATACCACATAGATTCTTGACAGTGACGATCAAACATGTGCCCAGCGAAACGCTTTGGATTCGTGTCGCCAAGAGCGTGAGGGGCAAAGAACGTGAAACCTCATCGACGAGCTGTTGCAATTATGAGTGACAGGAGTAAGTACATCAATTGACAAGTCAACCAACCATTGTCTTCATATTGGACCTCATGCAACTTTCGTCTTTGACCCCTCAGATTGACGTCACAATGTCTCCTCATTCGATCTCAACCGGGCACATGTCGCTCCTCTTCTCACTTTAAACGCTCGTTTTCACCGTCACTTGAAATAATAGAGGAATGATTTGAATACTCTTTATTGACTTTCACGTCGCTGAATGTTCCTCAAGTATACTCGCCCAGACGCCAGATATGCCCCAAATGCAACTTTACACTACCCTCTGAGAAGGGACATGGAATGGACTGCCCTTGAAATTCAGCCCAACATGCCATCGAATAGAATGTGACACTCTCATAGTATACACGCGCGCACGCACTCACTCATGTCTTACGTACCTTCTTGTCCACTTTCCAGACTGTCGTCGCTCATCTCTGGCGTACCTTTCGTCCACTTTCCAGACCGTTGTCATATAATCGTACGGTTCCGCCGTCTTTTCCATTATTCAATGATCCCCTTCAGTTCAGAATCCCAACGGGTACTCTGGGAACAGAATTGATAGCTGCCCTTCCTCATCATCAGACGGCGAATGCGGTTCATCGTCGTCGCTCCAATCATCACCGTTATCCCCCATTGGTATACCCATGGGTGCAAGGCTCGACCTTTCCTCTTGCTCAGAATCCAGCTCCCTCCTACACATCGGGCAGCTAGTACCCACTAGGCTAAGGCTGTCTATCAAACAGCTGCGCCCGAAGATGTGTCCGCACGGCGTCTTAACCGGGTCGTTGCTCGTTTTGCTCTCGTTGAAAGGCATCTCGGCGAACGCGGCTAGTGCTCGTCCTATCTCCTCGGTCTCAGGCGGTTCAGGAACGTGAAACGGACTGTCTTCGTCGGTTTCGCCAAATGGGAGCCAGCAGTGGGGGCATTTGTTGTCTTCGCTGGGGATACTGGAGAGTTCGGGTTCGGGGAGAGAGTCGACGTAGCGGATCGGGTCAAATGGGACATAGGGACGATATTGCGATGTCGGGTTTTCTATAGCCTCCAAGAACGCAGCAGCTTCATTTGTGATCGGGACATGCGCTAAGAGTTGGTTGAGTTGCGAGAAAGTATCCATGGAAATAGGCATCGTAATACCCCCGGGTGGCGCCGGTGCCCCACCAGGGATACTGATATGGATATGGGCTAGAGTCGCAAGTACCTAGTCAATAAAGCGCTTCTAAAGGGGTGACACTGCATGTGATATTGTACGGCGAAAAAGTTCAGAAATACTTACGAGGAGGTCCAGAGTACACATGGAGTAAAGCCGTTCCTGGTGGCAGAGAAGGTTGAGGACCAACGGCCGTGGGGGGGCTCGTGGAAATGGACGCCATATGACCTGGATTACCCTGCTGAGTTGACGGCGGATTCAGATGTGGAGTGGGAGCCAAATTTGGAGACATCTGCGTCAACATTTGGTCCACGCTGAGGTGGTTTGGACCTATGGATAGACCATGCGTAGGAGCTGGAGTGATGGGCTGGTCATCAACATCCTCTAACGAGGGCATTATTCCATCGTTATACTCGGCATCGCTCATGAACTGGGAGTGATTGTTATGAGTCGGTGTCGGGGCGACTGGCTGCTCATCAACGGGCCCCAGCGGGGGCATCTCTTCATCCTCATCTTCGTCCTCGTATTTCTCAAGCTCCTCATTCCCGAGATCCATGAGATCCATTTCCGCGTTGTCTGGCGACGAGTCAGTGGGAACTGTGCGCTGTCCGGTTGACTCACTGTGGGCGTCGGACATGGCGTGTACAAGGTCAATCGCGCCAACAAGTTTCGAGCGTGGTGTCGCTACGAGCCGCTAAAGGTGTAGAATTGCAGAGGCTGGCGCGAAGAGCCGTAGGTATCGAAGTGGGGCCGCAGGTGAAGGTGAGATGTAGAGGAAGGCGGGTTCCGTTTGTACGCCACGGCAACAATGAGGTCATATAATTTAGAATTGGTTGGGCAATAGAGAACCAGCTTGTATTCAACGCGGGCAAACCAAACAATGAGGTGAATGAGGTGAATGTATGAGATACTATCTACTCTACGTACGAGCATTTGGAACTGGAACCTCAACACATACCATCTTACATCGTCGTCGAAAGGAAATGTATGCGCAATTAAAACGTTTGATAGAGACGATGTAGGATTTAGCTGAGGAAATACTGGGTTGACGCCAAATTTCAATTCGCACAGTCCACAAACATGACTTTCTAAGCTATCAAGCCGTTTATGAGGCTTGTCGTCTTCATTGAATAGCAGACCGCAGCGATAGCTTGCAATACCACAAGGCTGGATGGAAGAAGTGAGCCTCGTGAGCCAAGTTCGGCGTACATTAGAGCTCACTGGGTCATCATATGATCGCGAGTAGAAGAAGGATACGGTGGTCATGTATGGCAGCTTATGCTAATGTGGCTTCCTGTAGGATTAAGCAGTTATTGACTCTTCAATTTGGTATTCATTATCATGATATCTCGTATCGGGACAAGAGCAAACGTTTTAGAAGAAGCTGACGTGAATTGCTGCCAGTAGACGCTTTCTCTGGATTAGAAAAATTGGTATTACACACATCCGATTATTATCAAGGTACAGATACCTAAGAGTGAACGTTAAAACGTATCAAGACACGGAAGGAATACACCTAATACCAGGTGAATCTTTAGAGTCTTAGCCTCTTCAGCATCTACACTCTTGCAAGAATCTTACCCCGCCCAGCTCAATTGAATAGGCGCTTCGATCGAGCACAAACTAGCTGTGTAGCGCAGTAGGAAAAGTGTTGGAATGTAAAAAAACAGCAATAAGACATTCTCTACCAACTAGATGACCACACGTTGTGCGAACAAGGTCATTCCTATGCCCATGGGGAGTGTCGTCCTTTGGCCCTCGAGCGCCAGGCTCTAGAGGATCTAAACCGAATTCCATCCGCAACGGCGGTCTTATACTGGAATACAGGCAATTTGTACACATGTACGGTAATGGACGTTCACGGTCTCTTTATCGACACTAATCCTGCCAGCGGGATGTCTGCACCAGCGGTACTCTCTCCCAGGGACCACATAAAAAAAGCGATCGAATTAGGCCATGTCACTGCTCGTATTGCCCGGGAAGCATCGACTCGAAGACCATAGATACATGATCATACCTGCCAACGCGCGACAGAAGTGCTCGCAGGGATGATGAAAGTTGCTTTCCTCCGTCCCATGCATGTTACGCGGCCATGAGCGCAAAAGTCCAAAATAGCAAATCTACGTTTCCGGCCACGCCCTTCGCTTACCGCCATAACATTTTCGAACACGGCGGACCATGATTTGAAGACGGAGATGTTAGATGGGTAGAGATGTAGTGTGTTGTAGCTACGAGATAAGGTGTGGCGTAACGAGCAACCCCGGTCCATCTAAGCCTAACATGACTCGTCACCACCCCGCATCGCTCTTCTTGGTCCACAGTATTATCAACCAACACATAGCTCGTTGAGACTCTTGAAGCCGACTAACGGGCTTGTAGTGAGGCTGCCGGCAAAAGACGCGAGATAAGTTTCACCTCCGCCAAAAAAATTCCATCAATCCAACAGTCTCATGGTCTAGTGGTATGACGTTCGCCTCACAATTCATTTCATATGGATTGAGTGCGCGACAGGTCCCGGGTTCGATCCCCGGTGAGACTACAACTGAAGTCGTATTTTTGCTTTTTTTGTTTTTGGTTCGATAGAGGTTGTGGGCGTTGTTGGGGTTTGAGGTAGATTGATTTTTGCGCCCGCGTGAGACACTGCGCTACTTCGGGTGGGTTAAGCGAGACATTGTCCTACAAAAACATCATGACAATGTCAACAAAGACGTAGAGCGTACTATTTTTAGTTCCGGTAGCTTTGGGCTCGTGTTTTGATTTGAGACTGTCTTGGTTGGGACGGGGAGTTTGCAGTACGTAAACACGTCCGAGTACTGGGGTTTTGGTGTTCTGCCCCGCATGTCAAGGAGACATGGTTTAGTTTTCGTACGCGGAGTACCAGCTTGTAAGTCTTTGGACACTATAGATACCATGTCTTTCAACTTGAGCGTGTCCTCGTTTTCCCGGTAGAGTAGTCATCGCTGCCTGGAAAAGCACTTCCCTTCCACCTGCTCAAAGTATCCTTTCTACTTATCGTATGATGACTACAGTACGCGAGAATCTGACACAAACCACATCGCTAACCCTAGTAGGTCGGATAGAATTGTGTAGATAGTCTCCTGCGTTGCTTCGGCAACCCGAGATACGAGTAGCATACTACACATGATTTGGAAAGGTACGGTATATGCGGGGCGTTATCGTGAGAGGCAAGACCTCTTGCAGTAGCGAAATGATAGGGGAAAGCAAGTGTAAAGGAGATTTTGTGCATCGCCGCGGTACCGCATACACAATTCAAGTATAGCATTACACTAGACCTTGGAGCATTATGTTATTCACGTATGAGGCATTTACAAGGGTGTAAGAGACGAAAAGTATATTGTACAAATGTGTAGCAACCAACAACGCCATGCAATGCTACTCGTGCAGGGGAATCTATACAGCCCCGGATATTGTACATACATCGTCATCATCATATATACTACGTGTGCATTAAATAAGAGCCTCGCCCCTGAACATGGCTTCCCTAACCTCCTTGACAATATCCGCACGATCGCCAGGGCCAACCAGGACAATACCCCTTCCTCTCCTGCCCATACGCCCAGTGCGACCAAGACGATGGATAAAATCGATCGTCGTATGCGGGACATCATATAATATGACGTGTCTCACAGAGACTGTGTCGATGCCCCTCGATCCAAGATCGGTGGTCACGATGACTTTGGTATTATCCAAATGCCTCGGATTCAGGGGTTCCTTCTTATTTTCCTCCGCCGACGGCTTGGCGGTGCCGGTGAATGAGGCGAGGAGTTTCGCTTGACGAGACGGGTCCGTGTCGCGGTGGAAAGCCATTGCATCGATGCCCTTCTTGGCTAGGTATTGTGCTACCTGATCTGTGTCGTCGCGCTCGTTGACAAAGACGAGAATGCGCTTGGTGGGAACGGCTTCTTTGCCTTCGGATGGATCGTACTCGGCAGTAGCTCTGCCAATCTGCCAGATGGTGTCTGCGCAGGCAAGCATCTTGTTACCGCGGTAGGGCTCCTTGTTGACGTCGACGACACCGAGTTGTACTCTTCGCGGGATGGCGTGGAGGTTCGGCGTGACCAGACGTTGCATTTCAGGGAATTTGGTGGCTAGGTACTTGTCGAGATATTTGGGGATCGTAGCGGAGCACATGAGGAGCTTCTTCAAGGAAGGCATGGCCCTTTCGAGGATTTCCGTCGTGCTGGGCTTGAATGAGCGGTCAAACAGCGAGTCGGCTTCGTCGACAATAAGGTGGGTGACGCGGGCGAGGATGTTGGGGTTGCTCTCTGCGATGCTGGCGAGGAGCGGCGGCGTGCTGATCACAACGTCCACGCCCTTCTCGTTGAACAGGAGGCTGCGAATGACAGTGGCGGACTTCTTTGCGGAAATGGGAGCCGCGCGGAATTTGACGGCGTGTGAGAGTGACTTTGCAACAGCGCCTACTTGGGCCACAAGCTCGGCAGAGGGAACGAGAATGATGGCGCGCGGCCGAGCCGGGTCGGTGGCCTTGTTGAGTTCGGGTGCCTCGACGCCGAATATATCGCGCCGGTTGTCCTCGTCTTCTGCTGCCGCCTCTTCTGCCTCGTCGGCCGCCTGGTCCTCTGCCTCGTGGACCTCCTCACGCTTGATGGCGTCGATGACCGGGAGGAGATAGGCCAGCGTCTTTCCAGAGCCAGTCTCGGCGGCCAGCAGAAACGACTCCAGACCTTCCTTCTTCGCAGTGGCTCCCCTTGTCCTCCTCTTTGCCTGCAGCCCTAGCAGCGCGGGGATGGCGACGGCCTGGGCGGGGGTCGGCTGGCGGTACTCCAGGCCGGGCAGCGCGTCCTTGATGGCTGCCTGTACCGACTCCATCAGCGGGAGGCCCTCGAAGGAGTCGACCTCTTCAATCTTCTTCTTGATGGCACTCCGCGAGCCGTATGGAATCTGGTGCAGCGACTCCTGCATCTTGAGGGCGTGAAAGGGCTCCTGGTGCGTCCGTCTGTTGTCATGTCGTCTGTCCGACGTCCTGCCTGCAAACGGCGAAGACCTGCCGCCTTCGCCTTCGCGCTCCACCATTGGCGGCGCTCTGGTCCTGTTGAGGTAGGAGAAGGCTTCCTGCTTCTTCCGCACCGGCGGGCTTCCGTCTGCCCACGGGCGCTCTGGGCGCGCAACGCTGTCTGACAGCACCATCCGCGACGGGCGCGGGGGGTCACGGCCATGTCTTGGCGGCCCTGGACGACGGTCTGCCTCATATCGCGCGGCTCGGTCACGCTGGATCTGGGCGTAGAGGCGTCTCTGCTGTCGTGGTGGGGGCAGGGGGCTGCGCGACTCGCACAGCCGCCCGGAGCGCGCGGCCTGGCGCAGCATCATGACCTTTTTCCTGGCCCTTTTGGCTTTCCCCTTTTGCTTTCTAGGGCTTTATAGGGCTTTATAGCACGCCGGGCATCGGAATCGTGCTTCTGCATGGTTCTGCACACATCGCGGGATGACGGGCAGCTAGAATTTGTCGGCCCAATCAGCGTCGAGCGGGGCTCCTGCTGTTGTCGTGGCAACCAAAAGGGCAGGCGCTACCCCGGTCGTGTTGATTCGCATAGATCCCCACGGCCCATTTGAACAGGCTGCTCCCGTTTGCTTCTCCCAACCTCAACCACGACAGCGTCTGCGCTCGGTTGACGTTCGCTTTTGCTGCGCTGTGCTGCACTGTTAATCTTTACGCCGGGGCATCCTTCTCTAACATCCTCCTAGAGTCCATTCTTCTAGGCATTCTTCGCCCACGCGCATAGCGCACGGCACCCGGCATCCGGCAAGTAGCAACTCGCTCTGGCAAACCATGTCGCGCAACGAAGCCGTACGTGTTGTCTGCCCGTCTACAGCGCACAGTCGAGGCTAATACGACTACTCCAGGTATCGCCGCTACGCATCACGAAGACCCCGACTGCCTCGCCCACTAAGTCAGGCATGTCGCGACCACTCTCCGAGATTGGCTCCACAGAGCACAGGAGGAACTCCCCGAACTTCAACAGCCCCTCCAAGGTACTCCCGACTTGCATTCCATGTCCAATTTCCATCCGCACGTACTAACGCCATCCCAGCGATTATCCCTAGCCAAGGAAGCCTCGCCCTTTGACTCGTCTCCGTTCCCAAACAGCCCCCGCTTGTTTTGGAAAGAGCAGACGGTGTCGCCCAAGACTCGCTTCGGCTCCGAGAACGACTGCGAACGCGACTCGTCGCCCGCGCAGCTGTCGCCCAAGCGCGGCTCCATTGAGAACCTCAAGAAGGCGTCGCGCGTCAAGAACAGCAGCATGTTCGCCCGCGAGCAGAAGAACGAGTACGACCCCAGCTCGGTGCAGGTTCCGAGCCGCCCACTGGCTGCTGGCCGCCCGCTGAGCACCCAGATCCAAGGCAATGCGTACGGCGGCAGTGGCCTGAACGGTCTGCGCCAGGAGAACGACAGCCACCGGCGCGGCGAGAGTCTCACCAAGATTCCCAACCTGAGCCCCTTCAAGCCGTCTTCGCCGACCAAGATGCCTTTGTCGTCATCGCCCACGCGGGACCCCTCGACGCCGCCTTCGGGTCGCATGTCGCCGGGCAAGTCGTCTCTTGTCAGCCCGTCGCGCTACGAGTCCGCCGAAAACAATCAAGATTCCAGCGTCTGGTCAGAAGATGAGGGCTTGAAGCAGCAGACCCCTCGCCCGCTGCGCCGCCACGCGAAGAGCGTCACCTTCGATGCCGCTCCCCCGACAATCAACGAGTACGAGATGGTGACGCCCGACCCCTCTTCCATCGCATCTGGCTCGCGAGACGGTAGCTACGATTCCGACGAGGAGGAGCTCAGCTTCGACCAGGACGACAGCTTCGATGCCTCGCTTGAGGACACAGACAAGACGCCCGTAGTACTTCCCGAGGACTGGCGCCACACGAGCCCGACCGCCGCCGACGCTGACAACGACGACGACGACGACGACGACGTGTTCGACGACCGCGACAAGAGCCCCATCCCGAATGCGCGGCCCAATATTCCGGCACGACCAGACAGCGCGCGTCACGGCTCCACTGCTTCCGATGGCGAGTCTAGGCCGCTGCCTCCTCTTCCCGGCATGCCAGCTCAGGACAGCCCTCGCCGTAACTCCGGTGTGGGTCTCTCGGATCCAGCGGAGCGTGCCAGCGTTCGTCGGTCGCTCCCCCACCCTCCGCAAGCCGCTGGTGTTTCCAAAGCCGATCTTCTCAACATGCGGGAGACATCCATGTCTCTCGAGGATAGGCTCCGATTGATGCACTTTGAAGACGATCGCGACACAGACACTCCCACCCAGGAGAGCCAGGACAAGAAGATAGAACTTAACCTGCAAGATGAAGTTGCCGAGGTTGATGACGCGACCGAGTCCGACGCTACGGTTGACGGTCCCAAGACTCCGCGCATCTCTCGCGAGTCTATTCTCCGAAAGGTCCAGAGCCGCAACTTTGACCAGGAGTGCGACAGTTATAATAACTTCAGCTACGACGTGGAGTCCAACCCCGACCGCAGCTATGGTGAGCTGGCGGATCTTGACCCGGATGTTC